GAGGAGAGTGAGGCAATGAGGCATTCCTGAAGTTTGAAAGAGAACAAGAAAGGCATAAGTTGGGAAGAAAAGGATTAAACCTGCCTATGAAAAGTAAAGAAGAATTAAGGAAGTGACACAGGTAACTAAATTTCCCTCATGTGTTTCTTAATGAAGTAATCAATATGGTGATGAAGTCAAATAGAGTCTGAAGCTTGAAATGCCCAAGTATTTATCTGGAAGTTTTCCATTGGATAGACAAAGACAGAATATAAAGGCATCTTTTGAAATCAAATTAGCCTCCTTTAAGGAACCCCCCACTGGCAAGGAAACCATCTTCTTGAGGAGAGTGATACCTTTTTAATTGGCCGGCACTTCTTGCAGAGGAATAATGTTTACCTGCTATTTGAGCATGTTCTTCAGGTCATATCTAGTGCAAGCCTGATAGTTTATAAAGCTCTCTCAAGGTATAGTTCCACTTAATCCCCACAACATAGTCTAAATCATTTCAGTAAATGTGGGTGTGATTGCAGAGTACTACAAACCAAATATAAATGCTACAAAAGACAGCTTGGTTGACGTCTCCTGGGTGTTGGGCATTCCATGGTTAGAAATATGGTCCTTTGCATTAAATCAAGAGTGCTTTGCAAAGATTAAGAAAGCAAGATTCAAAATTGTACATAAAGTTAAATCTCAATTTTGTCTGAAAACAATAAGGGTAAAGATTGGACATAATTTTGCCAGAGGAAATTGAAATAGGAGGTTAGTTGTTCTTGCCACTTACTCATTTGATCTACAATAAACACATGGGATGGGACTTCAACCATTTCATGAAAATGAAATTAAAAGATGTTTAATTTAGTGCAAAAATTTTTGGAATCCAGGCATACATACAAAATCCTTAGAAGAGATTTTTTAATGATATTCTTTCAACCCCTTACCAGTTGAGAAAGATAACGCAGCTTCACCGGCTAGCACGAATCAATATATCAGACTCATTTGCATGATACAGACAATTTCAATATTTTAATTTAAATCAATGTTGAAGTATTTTAGATGCTCTTATTAAAATGCAGAACTGGATTGTTCCTTGAGGAAGAAAATTCAAGGTGTTTTTTTTTTCCTGTTCTTTTCAGTTTCTTCTGTATATTTTGGCTTGAATCACACACGGTCCTTCCAGTGGAAATGGGCTGCCACTCTGAGAGCTGGGATGATGAGAGAGAGGATACACCAAGCACAGTGTCATGATCATAATATCAGGTGGGGCGTCTTGGGTTTCACGAGAGAAAAGAGATATACAAGGGATGACTCGGAAATTCATTAAGACAGTAAACCAAATAAAAGAGTCAAGGGGAGGAAAAATAAAATACCATTTTTCAACCATGGTATATTGCTTAATTAAAAAAAGCAGGCATTCACTCCCAATACTTGTTTCTAGACATTTAGTTAGATTCTAGGAAATAGCTTCGTGAATTCCTACCCACTAATATTTAAAGTTTGATAAAGGAAATAAAAATGTAACAAAGAGCTATAACATATAAATAGGAAGGAATAATGCCTTATAAAGGTTTGGTTCTTTTTATCTTTTAAAATAAACTATTAGTTGGTGGTTGTAGTAGGCAAGGAAGGAGTTGGTAAAAGGCATCTTCAAGGAAGGATTTTAAATTACAGACATGGGCTTGCCTTTGATTTAACTGTGTGTGAAAAGCCATTAATCAGGAAGAGAAGCATTGCCTTGGAATATAGTCAGTTGCATGGTTTGGCTAGATTAGGGGTTGACACATTTTCCTGTAAAGTGCAAGATATTGAATAGTTTAGAACTGAGTGTCAGTTTCTGTCAAGAATTTGAGGACCATTGAATTCTGTTGTTGTATCATGGAAGTATGTAATTACACTATATAAATGATTGTGCGTGTCTCTGTTCCAATAAATTTCATTTATGGACATTGAAATTTGAATTTCATATAATTTTGATGTCATCGAATGTTCTTCTTTTAGTTTTTTCTCTTACATTCAAAAATGTGAAAAACATTTTTAGTAGTTCTTATAAGCACTGAAATTAGGCCAGTCTGCTAATGCTATAGCTAGAGTTAGCAAAACCTACATCATCAGCAGACCCTTAATATAATATAAACTTCTCTCTGGCCACTACTAAGATCATTGGACAATAAGAAAATACAGATTTTTGAAAAGTGAATCATCTATCACTTAAAGTTCTTACACTGAAATAATATATTATTTCATTATCTTGTAATTTGACAAATCTTAAAACAAGCATGCTCCTTCAGTTTGCCTCAGTTTCCATTTCTGCTTCAATGAGGGTTACAGTTCACAAATGTTAAACATCAATAAGATTGATTTTCAGTTCAGGTAGATTGAGGAGGCATAGACATGCAACAGAAAAGCCAATCCAGATATCATTTTTGTTTGGCTTTGGACAGTGTTTTCCTACTTACGTGTGAGTATGGGTATGTCTGATGTTCTTGGAATTTACTTCCAACAAAGGAATGAAGCCACTCTAAGGCCATCTGACTCAGTTGAAGTTGGGAAAGCATCCCATTTCCCTATCTTGCTTCCTGTCTTGATCTTTCCTGTCATCTTGTTTTACGCTAATTTTAGATGCTTCATTGACTCAGGTCAATGAAAATGTTCAATCAAACAGAGCCATTGTCCCTAACATCTTCCTTCCAGAGCAGTAGAAGCCGTGTGTTTCCTTGTGTTCATTGAAATGCCCTTCGATGTGGAACACTAATTAACAGAGTTCAGCTTTCAAACAAGCAATGCAATTGGTAAACACTCACTAAACAATCAAGCCAGACTTGTAATGGATAAATCACGGTGAAAGTTGCCTCAACTGCTAATCTGACATTTACAGGTGATAGAAAAGATAGGGTGACTGGCCAGCTCTCTGCTGTGGTTTGGGAAGGCAGTGGAGGATGGCCCAAGTGCCTGGGCCCTGCATCCACATGGGAGACCAGGAGGAAGCACCTGGCTCCTGGCTTTGGATCGGAGCAGCGTGCCAGCTATAGCAGCCATTTAGGGGGTGAACCAACGGAAGGAAGAGCTTTCTCTCTGTCTCTCTCGCTAACTCTCCCTATCAAAAAAAAAAAAAAAAAAGATAGGGTGACTGGAATGATAAGACTCATGGCGAGTCCAGACTCCTCTTCTACAGATATTGTATAACAGGTTGCAAAATGCGTGCTCTCATCAGAATGTCAAAAACTAAAGGATAGCCCAGATGATTTATCTGGGGTAGGTGCTGCTGTTATTACTGTTATTACTGTTTTAATCACCCTCATTTTACAGATGAAGAAACTGGGATGCAGAATGTTTAAACAGCTTCCAATGTCACAGGATAGTAAAAGACAGTACCAACATTAATATCCAGTCTTACTTCCTCAGTATTCATTCAACAAAAATGGGGGGATGCAAAAATGGAACAGCCCTCCAAATGGTAACTATGCCCAGCACTTAGAAAAGCTCCCCCTAGATCTGGAGAGTAAGTTGAGCCAGATGTGATTTAGGTCCCCTGGCTGCCCACGCTCATTGGAAGGAAAGTGCATGCTAATTCCTTGCCAGGGTAATACTTGCATTGAACTCTCCAGAATTTTGAACTCCTCTAGGTTCAGAAGAGCTTGAGATTTTTATTTCTTTAGTTCCTCATGGCTGCCTTTCACATTTTTTGAAGCTCTCTTTTGACTCTGGTATTTTACATTCATCTATTCCCTTATCACTCAAGGTTCTGCCTTCCAGGCGAGCCACTGGACTACATGACTACCTTAACATTTAGTTTAACCCACTAGGACTTACTGCCAGGCAGAGTAATTTCAGACTATTTTTTTTTTCAAAGTGTGTATGCACACATATGTAAGTGATGGCAAAGAAATGTGGGAAATGGAAATCGCACTTCCTCACTTCCCGTCGGTGGCTGTCTTTTCCATATTTAGTTCTGTGAGAATGTTGTTTGTCACGGTGATACGACACCCCTGCCTTGTGGAGCACAGCTAAAAACTCTTCAGGTGTGGCAGTTGCTTTTAGAAGCCTTTCTATAGGAAGGAGTTCAGATGTGTTTTTTTTTTTTTCCAGTGTGTTCTAGGAACCTGGCACTATGCTAGGTACTTAGATATTTATCATTTCATTTAACTCATGTGATAGTGACAAAAGACAAACAAAAATGAAGACTAAGGGTGGGCATTGGTCACAGTGGTGAAGACCCTACTTGGGATGCCTGCACCCCAGATTGCAGTGCCTGGGTTCAAGGCCCACTCTACTTCTGAGTCCAGCTTTGTGCTAATGTGTACCAATTTCAAGTGCAGTTCTGCCATGGTATTTTTCCTGGAATACTCAAGGGGGTGTGGGAACAGCCACAGGTGTGGTGAGGGGAAGCCTCATTGGGAACCTGTAGCACAGCCTGCACTTTTTTTACCTTCTCAGATACAAGCTCTGGTTCCTGGGGTTGGGGGAAGGACTGTCTATCCTCAACTGCTTTCCTCCACTTCATCAGGGCTAATCAACTGAGGATGCTATTTCTATGGAACCGTGCTGCATAGGATAAATAATCAACAAAGGCATGTTGAATGAAACAGTGAATGAATTGAGCTATTACCAGCCATCCTGTCTCAGGTTGCATTAGCAGGCAGTCCCACTCCTTACCTGCTAAAATGTATACGGAAAGTTCTGCTGAGAAGGCTTCCATTGCACCACTCACTGTGTCTGATAATTGGCATGCACATTTCCATAGGTTGGTTCCCAGTAACCCTGCTTGTAAATATTTGAATCACTTACTGGCAATGTTGAGTGTGTTTCTGGCCCAGGAAACCTTCCTCCTTTGTATCCCTGACTAAGTTTTCACTTAGTCAGGGTGTACTTGAATGACCTTCACACTGTACCTCTTCCAGAGGTACAGAGGCACAGAGGCACAGAGGCAGTGAGGTAATGCTGTCTCAGCTGACTGGCTGTTGCTTGCTTTATAAGATGCCAGGGGCTACCTATGCGGATTACCAGGGTGAAACTGTAGGAACAAACCAGTGTCAATGGTTAACTCAGGCTCTTGGTCTCCTGGGTTTTTTTTTCCTTTATCATTAACTAAAGAACATTCTTACCATTGCTCAGCTGAGAGCACCCAGCTGACAGATCCTCTGTGGGGAGAGTGAATCAAGGTAAGTACTGCTCTATTTTTCTGTTATACAAAGTCCTTTGGCCTGTGGTTTCTCCTGATGCTCTCTTTCAGGTGCAGCAATGCTCTGTGTCCAGCAATGAAAATATTTATGTCATATTAAATGCAATTAAGATGATTTAATTTCTTATCCAAGTACTTTAAGTAGGAGTCAAACAATGTGTTGTATTCCTCAAGTTATCTTGAAGCTTTGGGCAAGTTGGAAAAGGAGCTCTTATGTGCCTTTGTATGTGTCAACATTCAAAAGTGACTTAATCATACTCATACCATATGAAGTACTCTATGGCTTCTTTCAAAAGCAGATCACTGTATCTGTCTGTGTATACATTTATAAATGTGTGACTGCCAGTACTGAAAAATATGCAAGTTTATACGGCTTTATAAATAAGTTAATGTTTTACTATAGTTCCATGCAATGATATGAGGGGGAATAAAGCATCCATACTTCTAGACTTACTTCAACATAAATTGAAAGAAAAGAATTTTCCTTTTTTGTGTACATCATAATCCCTCTAAAGATGTCTTTATTCTCCTATTTTTATAATCCTAGAATTTTATCACTGAGGGTCTATTAAAAGAAGTGTGGACTTAAAAATCTTTGCTCTCTGAATGACATGGATTCGCTTCTATAAAATTGAACAATTTTCCTTGCTGGTGGATTTGGTGGAAGACGAGAACTTTTCAATAATCCAGATGAATTCTAATCATGTCATTTTACTCCTATAGAGTAAATGGTTTGAAAAATATTTAGGAAAACTAGGGCTGGTTTATTTCTGCAGAATATTACCTTACAGCCAGATAAGAGTCAGGTCCTTAAGAATAAAATAATCTATTGATGTATCTTTGCTACTTTACTATAGAAAATGTAGACTACTGCTCTTTATGTCAGATTTTAAGTAACAAAGTAACACAAAATAGTTAAACCACACTTGTTTTGTGGAATATACTTAAGGAATTTCGGAAATTAAGCCAAAAAGGAGTTTAAAAGTGTACAATGTCCAGAGTCCAACATAAATCATGACAGAACAGAGGAAAGAATAAAAGAGTGAGAACTTGAGTAATGGAGAGATATAATCTTGTTTATTTTTAGAATAAATTATGATAAATCCAATTAAAAACAAAACCATGACAATATTTGAAATTGGAGGAAAAGATTGGAGTGGGAGAGACATTTGATACCCTATCTTAAAGAATTTTTCTATGTAAATAGTTTGACTTGAGAGAAAAGAAGAGTTTTCAAGGACATTGATTAAAAAAAAAAACTATTTCTTCCATTACGTAGGTTAGTGGAGAGTACAACACTTGGATTTAATTTTGTTGAAAATGAGGAATTGGTAATAGTATTCTTTGTAGGAAAAATATATATAATAGATACATAAAGTATATTTAAAGTAAATATTTTACCCCAAAAGATCCATGCATTTTCTTTGTTAAGTTTGTAAAGACCAATCCTTGAACACATCAGTCAGCTTTTGTCTTATATGAGATTTATGCTCCAGTACTCTGTACTACTTCCTAGTCTTAGAAAAAGTGGACTCAATCCTAACATTAGAAAAGAGTCCGTGGAAAATGTCATTATTTCAAGCATCACATGGACTATAAATGTTTCTATAGCAGGGAGAGGAAATAAGCATTTAAGTGCCTCCCGTGCTGTGGATGCCTACATGTTATATTCACTGGATCTTCACCTCAATCTTGTAAAGGAGCTGTTATATTCATTTATACATGAGGCTTGGATTTTCCACTTTCTGGCTGTATATTATTGGAAAAGTCATATAACTCCTTTAAGATGCAAATTTATTCTTGTCTGAATATGCAAACGTCTGTGTTTCCCACTGTCACAATCTATTCTAACTTTTCTAATGCACTGATCCAAAGTGCAAAGAGGAAGAGCTACACAGAGATCTCCCTCGTGTGCTCATCCTGCATGGATGTGGCTGGTGCCAATAGCCTATCCTTGTGAACCTCTGGGTGATATTCTCCATAGATACTGGTTTCAACAGATGGAGTGGCTGTAATTTACAGAGTCTATATCTCTCCAAGTGACCAAAGCCTTAGTCCTTGAGAACCTACCATGGCTGCTTTCACTGCAGTAACCAAAAGCACCCTTCTCCTAAGCACATTGACACAATCATTGGATCTGTAGTGGAGGATGTATAAATTTTGGGGAAAAAATAAACTCTAGGTCACTAACCACTGTGAGGTACTGAAATGGGTCATCCAGTCATTTGGTTGGTACTGTACTGAAGAGACATTTTCTGCTAATTTTTTCACGGATTAATCCTCTCCATAAATATTTATGTGTGATGAAGAAAGTTCTAAATCATGAGTCAATGACACATTGTGTATTCTGATAAAAGCACTCTCTTGAGGTTATAAGGCTAAGGAATTTGTCATTGAGTAGCACAGCACTTCATTTCTTTTACAGATCTTTATTGATTGCCTACCCTGTAAAAGATATTGATTAGACCTTAAGGGTATATCAATGAATAGGGAAAGACAAAGCATCTTGCCTTTGTGAAACTTAGTAGAAGTTGGGGAACACTCATTAAATAACATAAATAGATAAATATATAATATGCTTAATGGTAGTCAATGACATGGAGAGAAATAAAATGAGAGTAAGAACTGTTGGTGGGGGCAGAGTAGTGGAAATATTATACCTGTATTACTTTTCAGTTTTCTATTGTTATGTTACAAATTACCCCAAACAGCGGTTTGGAAAAACAAGCATTTGCAATCTGAGTTGTTATGACCAGGAATCCAGGCTTGTTTGGATCCTTTGGGTCTGAGTCTGCTCCATGCTACCGTCAAAGTGTTCATGAGAATTGCAAGCATCTCCAGTCTTGCCTAGGGGTGATCTTCCACTAAGTCCACTCACTGGTATTTGGCAGGATTTGGTGCCTTCATGCTCAGTTGAATGAATGTCTCCATTCTCCACTCATCACTCACTAGAGTGCTCCCTCAGTTCCTTGCTACATGAGCCTCTGTGGAACAGTTCACCATGTAACAACCGGCTTCTCTTACAGCAAGTGAGTAAGAAGGACAGGAACCACAGTCATCTTCTAATTTAATCCTGCAACTGACATTCTTTAGTTTTATTTTTTTAAAAGATTGATTTGTTTATTTGAAAGCCAGAGTTACACAGAGAGGGAAGGAGAGGCAGAGAGAGAGGTCTTCCATCTGCTGGTTCACTCCCCAATTTGTTGCAACAGTTGGAGCTGTGCCAACCCAAGGCCAGGAGCCAGGAGCTTCCTCTGGGTCTCCCACATGGGTACAGGGGTCTAAGGACTTGGGCCGTCTTCTACCGCTTCCCCAGGCTATAGCAGAGAGCTGCAATGAAAGCAATGGAGCAGCTGGGAGTTGAACCGGCTCCTATATGACATGCCAGCAGTGCAGGCGGTGGCTTTGCCTACTATGCCACAGTGCCAGCCCCTAATTTTAGTTATATACCTTTAACTGGAAATGATTCTCTTAGTTGAGCTCACACTCTTATTTGTTTATTTTTTTAAATTTTATTTAAGGTATACATATTTCATGTATTTTATATATACAAATTTAGGAACATAGTAATATTTCTCACCCTACATCCTTCCTGTCCATGCCCCCACCTTTCTTCTCCTTCTTATCCTATTCCCACTATTAATTTTTACAAAGATCTATTAGTATCTGGAGATGAAGGTCATTGGAAGTCATCTTCAAAATTGCCTATAATGGATTTGCAATTATAAGCCAGCATCCCTAAACGGATGATATTTGATCCAAGACTCTGTGGTGATAAAGAGTTGAGAGATGTAAATGACCTGGAGAAGAGCAACTCAGGCAGACAGAACAGCCCTGAGGCAGGAGTACCTGTGACATTTTCAAGAACCAGCAATGAAGCCAGCGTGACTAAAGCCAAGTTGCAAGAGTGACAGTCGTCATAGCTGAGGCCCAGCGGGTATGCCATAGTTTTTATAAGATAGAGAAGATTTTGCAAGCCAGGTGTGTCAGAGAATGCTTTTGTGATGCTGACAAATACCAGAGGAGGGGGGATTTATGGGAGGTAGGGAATGTGGGTAGGAGGGTGATGAGAAGGAAGGAGAGGAAAAGGAGAGAGAGGGAGAGGAAGAAGAATATTGTGGATGACAGGCAGGACAGGCAGAGGAACAAAATACAAATGTGAGAATGAGCACAGTTAGTATGTATATTGAGTGTAAATGAAGACATGTACTTCTAGCATGCCCAGTAGAGTAAATGAAAGATGTCTTATCACTGTATGTGAAGAGATAAAGATGTGCTCCCCAACAGGAGACTTATTCAGGATGCACAAACCCCATTGACTGAACCAGGCTCTGTCTGGCTCATCCCAGATGCCGCTGACAGATGGGCAGCTACGAAGTAAAAGTGGATTTCTTTGGCAGTGAATTCTCCCAGTAACTCTCCTGCTTAGAATGTGCCTTCTCTTCACGTTCTGCTGAGAAGAGAGCAGTTAAGCACAGTCATCAGCTGTGGTGTCTCCAATTGGTTCCTTTGTTGGAAATCATGGTAGTGGGGACTCCAGATAAGCAGTCCTTCCGAGATATTTGCAGAAAACAAAAAATAACCCCAAATAAGAGACTTTGGGTTACAGTTTCTGTGCCCAAGGGCCCAGCTGCAGAAAAAAATAGTTTTTCTACACTCAGAAAATCATGTGCACAAGGTTCCTGTGCTGGCCCAGCTGCATCCCACCTTCTCAGCTGCTCAGCTCTGCAGACTGAGAACAGAATTCCTTAATCACCGTTTTTAGGATATTTGTGTCCTGGGCTTCATAGCTATTTTACTCCATTAAACATATGTGGGAATGACTGTTTTCCTTACAGCCGATTTTAAGTTAAAAGATGAAATCAAATTCATTCCTCTTCTTGTTCCTGTGGTTTACCTAAGATCAAGGAAGCAGATGTAAGATAGATGTATCATTTTGTTAGAGGCCTTCCCTTAGTAAACACAACTTTTTCCAGTTAC